TTGAAGATCGGACAATATTTAGTGGCACTTTTTCAGTTCCCCGTCCTCTGACCTTGAGTTTGACCTTGAAGTTTGACCTTGATGAAAATGGTTTTCGATGTGCGGCTAGAACTTTGCACGCGCTACATTTTGGTGCCAAAATTTTGAAAATCGGACAATATTTAGTGGCACTTTTTCAGTTCCCCGTCCTTTGACCTTGAATTTGACCTTGAAGTTTGACCTTGATGGAAATGGTTTTCGATGTGCGGCTAGGACTTTGCACGCGCTACATTTTGGTGCCAAAATTTTGAAGATCGGACAATATTTAGTGGCACTTTTTCAGTTCCCCGTCCTTTGACCTTGAATTTGACCTTGAAGTTTGACCTTGCTGAAAATGGTTTTCGATGTGCGGCTAGAACTTTGCACGCGCTACATTTTGGTGCCAAAATTTTGAATATCGGACAATATTTAGTGGCACTTTTTCAGTTCCCCGTCCTTTGACCTTGAATTTGACCTTGAAGTTTAACCTTGATGAAAATGGTTTTCGATGTGCGGCTAGAACTTTGCACGCGCTACATTTTGGTGCCAAAATTTTGAAAATCGGACAATATTTAGTGGCACTTTTTCAGTTCCCCGTCCTTTGACCTTGAATTTGACCTTGAAGGTCAAGGTTTAGGGGTGAATGGGTTCGATTTTCGTGATCCTCATGGTCCAATTGACCTTGCACGAGGTTTTGGCTAAAATCGGTGCTCGTCGCTGGGAAAGTCGCTGGTGACGTAGCATTTTAAAGTTGTCCGTTCTTTGACCTTGAATTTAACCTTGAAGTTTGACCTTGATAAAAATGGTTTTCGATGTGCGGCTAGAACTTTGCACGCGCTACATTTTGGTGCCAAAATTTTGAAGATCGGACAATATTTAGTGGCACTTTTTCAGTTCCCCGTCCTTTGACCTTGAATTTGACCTTGAAGTTTGACCTTGATGAAAATGGTTTTCGAAGTGCGGCTAGAACTTTGCACGCGCTACATTTTGGTGGCAAAATTTTGAAGATCGGACAATATTTAGTGGCACTTTTTCAGTTCCCCGTCCTTTGACCTTGAATTTGACCTTGAAGTTTGACCTTGATGAAAATGGTTTTCGATGTGCGGCTAGAACTTTGCACGCGCTACATTTTGGTGCCAAAATTTTGAAGATCGGACAATATTTAGTGGCACTTTTTCAGTTCCCCGTCCTTTGACCTTGAATTTGACCTTGAAGTTTGACCTTGATGAAAATGGTTTTCGATGTGCGGCTAGAACTTTGCACGCGCTACATTTTGGTGCCAAAATTTTGAAGATCGGACAATATTTAGTGGCACTTTTTCAGTTCCCCGTCCTTTGACCTTGAATTTGACCTTGAAGTTTGACCTTGATGAAAATGGTTTTCGATGTGCTGCTAGAACTTTGCACGCGCTACATTTTGGTTTCAAAATTTTGAAAATCGGACAATATTTAGTGGCACTTTTTCAGTTCCCCGTCCTTTGACCTTGAATTTGACCTTGAAGTTTGACCTTGATGGAAATGGTTTTCGATATGCGGCTAGAACTTTGCACGCGCTACATTTTGGTGCCAAAATTTTGAAGATCGGACGATATTTAGTGGCACTTTTTCAGTTCCCCGTCCTTTGACCTTGAATTTGACCTTGAAGTTTGACCTTGCTGAAAATGGTTTTCGATGTGCGGCTAGAACTTTGCACGCGCATTTTGGTTCCAAAATTTTGAAAATCGGACAATATTTAGTGGCACTTTTTTCAGTTCCCCGTCCTTTGACCTTGAATTTGACCTTGAAGGTCAAGGTTTAGGGGTGAATGGGTTCGATTTTCGTAATCCTCATGGTCCAATTGACCTTGGACGAGGTTTTGGCTAAAATCGGTGCTCGTCGCTGGAAAAGTCGCTGGTGACGTAGCATTTTTAAAGTTCCCTGTTCTTTGACCTTGAATTTAACCTTGAAGTTTGACCTTGATGAAAATGGTTTTCGGTGTGCGGCTAGAACTTTGCACGCGCTACATTTTGGTGCCAAAATTTTGAAGATCGGACAATATTTAGTGGCACTTTTTCAGTTCCCCGTCCTTTGACCTTGAATTTGACCTTGAAATTTGACCTTGATGAAAATGGTTTTCGATGTGCGGCTAGAACTTTGCACGCGCTACATTTTGGTGCCAAAATTTTGAAGATCGGACAATATTTAGTGGCACTTTTTCAGTTCCCCGTCCTCTGACCTTGAATTTGACCTTGAAGTTTGACCTTGATGAAAATGGTTTTCGATGTGCGGCTAGAACTTTGCACGCGCTACATTTTGGTGCCAAAATTTTGAAAATCGGACAATATTTAGTGGCACTTTTTCAGTTCCCCGTCCTTTGACCTTGAATTTGACCTTGAAGTTTGACCTTGATGGAAATGGTTTTCGATGTGCGGCTAGGACTTTGCACGCGCTACATTTTGGTGCCAAAATTTTGAAGATCGGACAATATTTAGTGGCACTTTTTCAGTTCCCCGTCCTTTGACCTTAAATTTGACCTTGAAGTTTGACCTTGCTGAAAATGGTTTTCGATGTGCGGCTAGAACTTTGCACGCGCTACATTTTGGTGCCAAAATTTTGAAAATCGGACAATATTTAGTGGAACTTTTTCAGTTCCCCGTCCTTTGACCTTGAATTTGACCTTGAAGGTCAAGGTTTAGGGGTGAATGGGTTCGATTTTCGTGATCCTCATGGTCCAATTGACCTTGGACGAGGTTTTGGCTAAAATCGGTGCTCGTCGCTGGAATAGTCGCTGGTGACGTAGCATTTTTAAAGTTGTCCGTTCTTTGACCTTGAATTGACCTTGAAGTTTGACCTTGATGAAAATGGTTTTCGATGTGCGGCTAGAACTTTGCACGCGCTACATTTTGGTGCCAAAATTTTGAAGATCGGACAATATTTAGTGGCACTTTTTCAGTTCCCCGTCCTTTGACCTTGAATTTGACCTTGAAGTTTGACCTTGATGAAAATGTTTTTCGATGTGCGGCTAGAACTTTGCACGCGCTACATTTTGGTGCCAAAATTTTGAAGATCGGACAATATTTAGTGGCACTTTTTCAGTTCCCCGTCCTTTGACCTTGAATTTGACCTTGAAGTTTGACCTGGATGAAAATGGTTTTCGATGTGCGGCTAGAACTTTGCACGCGCTACATTTTGGTGCCAAAATTTTGAAGATCGGACAATATTTAGTGGCACTTTTTCAGTTCCCCGTCCTTTGACCTTGAATTTGACCTTGAAGTTTGACCTTGATGAAAATGGTTTTCAATGTGCGGCTAGAACTTTGCACGCGCTACATTTTGGTGCCAAAATTTTGAAGATCGGACAATATTTAGTGGCACTTTTTCAGTTCCCCGTCTTTTGACCTTGAATTTGACCTTGAAGTTTGACCTTGATGAAAATGGTTTTCGATGTGCGGCTAGAACTTTGCACGCGCTACATTTTGGTGCCAAAATTTTGAAGATCGGACAATATTTAGTGGCACTTTTTCAGTTCCCCGTCCTTTGACCTTGAATTTGACCTTGAAGTTTGACCTTGATGAAAATGGTTTTCGATGTGCGGCTAGAACTTTGCACGCGCTACATTTTGGTGCCAAAATTTTGAAAATCGGACAATATTTAGTGGCACTTTTTCAGTTCCCTGTCCTTTGACCTTGAATTTGACCTTGAAGGTCAAGGTTTAGGGGTGAATGGGTTCGATTTTCGTGATCCTCATGGTCCAATTGATCTTGGACGAGGTTTTGGCTAAAATCGGTGCTCGTCGCTGGAAAAGTCGCTGGTGACGTAGCATTTTTAAAGTTCCCCGTTCTTTGACCTTGAATTTGACCTTGAAGTTTGACCTTGATGAAAATGGTTTTCGATGTGCGGCTAGAACTTTGCACGCGCTACATTTTGGTGCCAAAATTTTGAAGATCGGACAATATTTAGTGGCACTTTTTCAGTTCCCCGTCCTTTGACCTTGAATTTGACCTTGAAGTTTGACCTTGATGAAAATGGTTTTCGATGTGCGGCTAGAACTTTGCACGCGCTGCATTTTGGTGCCAAAATTTTGAAAATCGGACAATATTTAGTGGCACTTTTTCAGTTCCCTGTCCTTTGACCTTGAATTTGACCTTGAAGTTTGACCTTGATGGAAATGGTTTTCGATGTGCGGCTAGAACTTTGCACGCGCTACATTTTGGTGCCAAAATTTTGAAGATCAGACAATATTTAATGGCACTTTTTCAGTTCCCCGTCCTTTGACCTTGAATTTGACCTTGAAGTTTGACCTTGCTGAAAATGGTTTTCGATGTGCGGCTAGAACTTTGCACGCGCTACATTTTGGTGCCAAAATTTTGAAAATCGGACATTATTTAGTGGCACTTTTTCAGTTCCCCGTCCTTTGACCTTGAATTTGACCTTGAAGGTCAAGGGTTAGGGGTGAATGGGTTCGATTTTCGTGATCCTCATGGTCCAATTGACCTTGGACGAGGTTTTGGCTAAAATCGGTGCTCGTCGCTGGAAAAGTCGCTGGCGACGTCGCCAACTTCACGGACATGATCCTACCTCCACACTCCCCCTCTTTCCGTACCACTCCGTGCCATGTAACATGACAGAGACAGGCGTGTGGCCAGCTGCCACCGCATAGCTGCGTGATTAATGGTGAATAATGACGAGTGGTGGTGACGTCCTCCTTTGTTTTCTATCTCTCCATGAAAGGTTGTGGTCTGTTTTAAATGTGTGTAATTACCCTTATCATTTCCCTTTGTTCCCGTGTCTGCCAACAGGCTTCGTTTCTATTTTGTATGCGCCATACCTAGCTTATTCGTTTCTTCCCATACAGTGTCAAACGATAAAAACTTTGTTCGGGAGCCGTTTCTCGTGGCCCGTTCGTATCTCACAGAAATTGGCCCGGTTAATGTGCTATTCGTAACCGTTTCACCGTCTTCTTCTGGCATTGATCTAACCTGACGTGACGTCCTCTTTCTCCCAGGTGTTGTATCGCTCAGTTTCAACCTGCCGTTCATCGGCAAGGGAGGCTGGTGGCGAATCAGGGTCAACGTCCGAGGTCAAATCGAGGAGAAACTCATCAAGATGACCAAGTACTTCGTGCCCCAGTGGGAGGTGTGTACTCTTGGGTGTCTGTGTGCTAACGGCGCTAATGCTGCTGACGTTAAAAAGGACGGATTATGGTATATTTTTAAGGTAGGCATTCGAAATAAATTTGTGACAATATGATTCATGTATGATGAACTTTGACCAGGGATTCGTTACCCTTGTCCGCCGTACTCTGATCGATTATGTATTGTACTGATAATTATTTATGTGCTCTGTACTTAGGGTACAATTACTTACCCGGTTGTCCTTTAGTTAGTACTTACCTCCCCCGTTCCCCCGTCAGGCGTTCGCGTGGATGCCCACCTACTTCTTGCTCTCTGAGGAATCCATCACGGGAGAGGTTTCAGCCGCCTGGACGTGCGATAAGCTCATTTACGGCAACGTGACGGTGGAGCTGTGGGCCCGGCCCGGACCCAGCTTCGCCAACAAGGAGGGCAACTACAAGTTCATCACCGCCTACAAAATCGAAGGCGTGAGTTGGGTCTGTGATAATAGCGCTCATGTTATGCTGTGCTGTTGATTTTTGTGATAAACATGGTCTAAGAATCAATGCTGGATGGCCAATTTATTCTTAAGTCTTCCATAGAGCAACGATTTAGTAGCAAGTGATTCATCGAGCGTTGAGTAGCGACGAATTCGATTACCTAATTTACTAATAATCTATAATAGTTTTCTTTCTTTCTTTCTTTCTTGAATGTTCACGAATGATTTATATTATATTTACTTACCGTCAAATAGACGTACAGGGCAGGTTTGATCCTACCATTCATCGCCTCAGCATGTAGGGAACCGGCGACAGTCGATCGATATGCGTCTTCAGTATTATGTGTACGTCTTTTTCACCCGCTCACCTAACCCTCTCGGCTCCTCAGTTTGCCGGTGAAGATGAGTTTGAGTTTCCGATGGACGTGCTCCAGGGAGAGCTGCCCACGCTCAACAACGCCGAGGTCAAGGTCGTTGCCAAGGTCAGTGTCGTAGGCTGCGTAGTGGATACGGCATGACAGATCAAGAAGTGGTAAATGTGCTATAGAACATGGGGTAATTTTGTTCTATTTCGTTACTTTTTCTGTATCATGATTGGTTCAGATGTTTCGCCATTCGAAGGACATCCATTGAGAGTAAGGGTGAGTTCATTGTGATGTCGCCTTTACCTAGACCTTGTTGTATTGAGGCGATTACTTCTGAAACGTTTAAGAAACTACCCAAGGAACTTTGCACCCCAGCTGACTTTCAATCTTATCACCGTTGCTCAGGTGACGGACTACTGGCTGAACGAGACCTATATTGGTTGGTGCAACTCCAAACTCATCAACGCCACGGTAGCCATCAAGTTTTTGGGCTCGTCACCGCAGCTCTACAAGCCGGGAATGCCTTTCATTGGTCAGGTGGGTGTCACGAGGTGGTGCGGCGAATTAAGCACAATGTGCTTCTGCACCACTCTCATATTATTTTACCCCATCATTTGTTACTCTTCTTAACCTATCGCTAGCGATCATTTTAAGGTGTTGAGGTTGTCCAATAAACATGCTGGAACGGAATGAGAGAGGGAGAGAGGGAAGGAGGGAGTAAGTGAGTAGATGGGTGAGTGAGTGAGAGTGCGGACGAGTCAACAGGCGTTGGGATAGCGTATGAGAGGGAGGGCAATGATTGTTTATTCCTTGATCTTAATACATTGTTTCAACTGATGGTGACAATTTGACTCGTACACCGGTTAGTCTAACCCCGTGAGGCTTCTGTCTCAAGCTTCTGTGACCCAGTCACCTATCACGACCATATGCCGCTGTGGTACTGGTGACCCAGCCTCTACCACGGGTGACTGTGCCCTGGCCCGTGCGGTGACCCCCTGACCCCCTGTGACCTCTGCTGCAGGTGGCGGTGACCTGTGGTGACCCCCTGACCCCGTGTAACCTCTTCCACAGGTGGCAGTGACCTACCACGACCACATGCCTCTCTCCTCCGAAGAGCTCGAGTCGGCCACTCTGACCATCCGCTCTACCGGAGATAGCTCCGGAGAGATCCGGATTCCGAGCGTAGAGGAGTGGCAACAGCGATTCAACTGGCGCAACTCATCCTACTGGCGAGACTCGACCGGCTCATACCGCAACATAGACCCCAGTATGCAGTCTACGATACCGGGGACACGACAACGCAACCCAGACTTTGTTGCGAGCGAGGACGGGGATCTACCGCTACTCAGCGAGGAGCGGTACATTGCGGAGATGATGGAGAGCTACCTTCAGGAGCAGGAGTGGGCAGAGTTCCGCCGCTCAGGAGTGTACCGGTTCCAGATTGACACCCCGCCGCGCGGAGGTTCCATCGACCTCACGGCGACGATCCAGCTGCCTGAGGCGGGGACCACCACGACGACACTGCGGCTGGAGCCGTACCACAGCCGCGCCAGGACCTTCATCTCTATCCAGACGTCCAACCAGCGCACCGACATCGGCGAGTACGCCGTCTTCCACGTGCGCTCCAACTTCCCCATGAGCTACTTCTACCTCATCGTGAGTATGATGCCGAGGTCTCGAGCTGGCGGGGTTGAATGTGGTTGGACATATTGCTGATGAGCTTTTATCCTGAAAATCAGCGCTTTTTATAGTATAAGGGTACCAATGATTGCAAGAACATTGATGATTTCTGCTCCCTATGGTAGTCGCTTTAACACAATCGTTTCAACGAAGAGGCAGCATGTTCGAATAAGCTCAAAATTCTGCAATCAATGGGCAACCCTATTAAATATAAAGCCTGTGACCTATGAACTCACGATAAACCTTTCCGTCCACAACTGAGTAGGAATCTGATGACTCACAATAACCAACTCATTTCAGGTGCTGAGTAAGAACCTGGTGATCCACGGGGACCGTGTGCCGGTGGAGGACACCACCGGGCCGGCCATGAAGACCATCTCGCTGCCCGTCTCGGCAGAGATGGCACCCAGTTTCCGTATCCTGGTGTACCACGTGACGGATGATGGGGAGGTGGTGACCGACTCCATACAGGTGCCCGTGGAGGGCATCAACAGAGGACAGGTTAGTCTGACGGTGACGTGATGTTACACTACATAGAGACATCAACCGGGGCAGGGGTAGTGTGACGATCACGTGACAGTATGTGTCATGAACTTATAGATTGTAAGACCGAAATTGTACCCGGTCTTATTCAAGGTTGTAAGACCGAGGAGAGGTTTGTAAAAAGTAGATATAATGACGACTTTTGTAACTTATAAGAGCTCAAAGCTGGTATAGGTCAACAAATCACTTGTCTATGTAATCCGGAGCTTGGGCATCATGTTTTATATCACCAGCTTATTCCAGTACATGGCTGTTGTCCGAGCATGATAGTTGTTCAGAGCTGTCCGCAGGCCCGTAAGCCGCTGTGTGCGACATCTATACCCACGCCGTACACACGTGCCACCGTTTCAGACCAAGGTGATTCTGAACCAGCACAAGGACCACTCCAAGAACACGCTGGAGCTGGGTATGTGGAGCACACCTGGCGCCACCTTCTGTACGAACGTGATGCGAGGCTATCTGTACAGCGTGCAGGCGCAGCACGAGCTGACACGTACCTCGGTGCTGTCAGCGCTCCACTCCTTCGAGAACACCACCAGGTATGGGTGAGGTGGGGGCAGAAAGAGTGACATCGGGTATGGCGAGGGCGAAGTACATGAGATGGGTGTCAATCGTTTTAGTTGTAAGGTGTCACGATTGGCCTAGCAGGACGTGGTCAGTGGTCACTGTTCGCTGTCCAGAGTTTAATGTCCATAATGCCCGCTTCCGTGAATGTTGCGCACTTTTCAATGACAGCAAAAGTGTTTTGTTTAAAATGATGACGTGCATTTTTGGGGCCTTTCCTCAATGATGAACCGATAATTGACCCACTGTATACCTGTCTTCGCTGTTTTATAACCCCCTTTCTCCCAACCCTCCCTCTCTGTAGAGACGTACACCGGACCATCTGGCGTTGGCGGGACGGGAGTCAGCCGGACAAATCCGAGTACTATATCACGCAGAACTACGGCAGCGACTCCAACACGACGTTCGACCTGGCCGGACTGGTGGTGTTCACCGACGCCATTGTCGAGTCCGTGCCCGGTTCTGGTGAGGATTGGGGAAGGGCGGAAGGGAGAGGGTGGTGAGCGCTGTAGAAGGGAGAACCGGAATGATGCATGAAGATGGGTGAGTTACAGGATGGGACGATTGGGGTTGGAGATGTTTTCAGGCTTCGGTAGCAGGACCTTGCAACTTGTGTGGCTAGGCAAACCGTTTTTACCACACAGGTGCTGATATGTTAACCGATGTCTCTGTACCTCATGTGATCTCTGTCCTCATGTGATATCTGTCTCTATGATCACATTAGTTTACATATCTCTAGAACATGGTCGCGATGTTTGCTTTACAAATTGTCCTGGGTGCCCACTGTTGTCGATATACAGCCAGCTGATATCCAGCTGACCCAGCTGATCCAGTGTTACCCTAACACTCCTACGCACAGTAATAACAACTCACCAGCTGTCTTACTCAGTCCTGGATGCATCTGCAACTGACACACATCCCTTCTCCGAGTAATAGCGGTTAGGTCTCTCTGACAATCGATCCGATGTGTCTTTGCCAGATTTACGTCATTGTGGATGCTATTACATGAATTGATGCATAGACATGTGATGTATAAGTGTATGTATGTGTGTATGCTACCTGTATAGTGTATACCCTGCATTACTTCAAACTGTAGTCGCAAGAGATAAGACGTTCAACTTCAAATACTGACCTCCCCATGCGTTTCTTCCACAGAATGTGTGGACGGCGAGCTTCGTTGTGTTACACGCGGCTGCTATAACGCCACTCGAAAGTGTGACGGCATTGACGACTGTGCCGATCGGTCCGACGAAATGGGATGTAAGTACGAATGGATATGTCATGGCTTAACTTATTATTCCATGTTTATTCGACATTTCCTCGAGACTGTGGGACATCTCTTGTTGTTATTTTACTTGCGATAATTATTTGATGCATCTCTGGCTTGTTTATGCGCTGTATGAGACAAAACTATTCAAAATGAGCTATCCGTTGGCATGTTAATGTCTTGATATTAAACGAATTGGCATACGTTTGGTCTTCATAAATTTCGGTTTAGCGTAATTACCTATTTGCTCTGTTCAGGTCTCAAGCTTATTTCATAATATAAATATAATGTCCGGTGGTATGCTTAATTACTGCCAAAAGTGGCTCCAGCCTTGACGTGCGCGTAAACAATTAGCTGCTAAACTCATGTTGAACACAGGTGTTGTCTTGAGCAAACCCGCTTAGTCGTGACATGAAGCTCGCTTCCCACAGGCCCCCGAGGTATCGATGAAGACGAATTGGAGCGGCGATTCCGAATGACACGACGCTCTGTGTACAACGAGTACTTTGACCCGGAGGACGGCGACTGGGCCTGGGTCGAACAGAACATCGGTGAGAGGGAGAAAGAGAGAGAGAGAGAGAGAGAGAGAGAGAGAGAGAGAGAGAGAGAGAGAGAGAGAGAGAGAGAGAGAGAGAGAGAGAGAGAGAGAGAGAAAGAGAGACAGAGAGACAGAGAGACAGAGAGACAGAGAGACAGAGAGAGAGAGAGAGAGAGAGAGAGAGAGAGAGAGAGAGAGAGAGAGAGAGAGAGAGAGAGAGAGAGAGAGAGAGAGAGAGAGAGAGAGGGGTGGACGAGATTTGGCATCAAATGCTGAAGACTTCCAATTGAAATAGTAATCTTAGTAGTCAGGAAGGTCTCAACTGGAGACTTGGACCAAAGTCCGACTGCTAATATCCGTAATACCTTTTCTCAGGTATCCCAAAGAATTGGGCGTCAATTTTGAACCATTGGAGCAGTGAATGCAAAATAATGAAATGATATATTGAGCTCTATTCTCTAGTCTGCTCTCGTTAATGACACTCCTCGTAAATCAATTTACTCAACGTGTTTGGTAGCTTTTTTTGGTGGATGCTGCCAAAGCGCTCTCTTTGCTACGCACGAGCGTTATTTATGTCCATTGATTACCATAATACGAAGCCCATTTGATTAATTCGAAGAAACGTAGGAGGCACTTCTGGGAACAGTTTCCGGTAACCTAATCTCCTACTGCTGGCGTTCAGGGTACCTTGGAGGCGAGCAGCTCGTTCTGGAAGTTCCCGAAACCAACGACGACTGGTACATCAACGGCTTCAGCATCAGTCAGAAGGACGGATTCGGCCTCATCGACTCGCCCATACACGTGAGTCTGCGCCGCGAGAAGTGTGTTATGTGAGTCGGCGCCGCGAGTCATGGCTTCTTTTCTGAGTTAGCGCCGCGAATGGTGTGTATTTACAGCGATAAGACGGGCAAGACGCGTGTATAGAGGGGATGCATGCTGACTGGTGGGGTAATCTCTCTATTGTGCTTTGTTGAAGAGTGGCTATTTTCAGGCAATATCTGTTCTCTGTCCCAAAGGAGCAATAGTGACAACGGATGCGATATGGCCAGTGAACATGAATGGTAGTTCCGGCTTTTTGCGTCGTAGAGCTTGTAAGCTTATTGAGTTTATTGAAAGAAAGCGTAGTGACGCCGGCAGACAGGATATCACCATTTGTATCCTGTTGTATTGAGATATTGCTTCTAAAATCGTTAAAGAACTGGCCAAGTATGAATCTGATCCGACATAGACGATATTGTGCGGCTTTGTCCAGAGCTGACTAGTCTGGCTATTTTGACACAGCATCCGCTTGTCTAGAGACGTGTTGTTAAAGCTAGGTCCGCACCTGTCAGTTTATTGAAACTCATGCTGGTTCAGTAAAACTGACTTGGATGCGTTGGGTACTAATTCATTGAGACAGTGACATTGACATCAGTGATCACTAACACGGTTACCGATGTTCCCCGATCAGTCTTCTGTTCCCTGAGCAGTAACCCGTGTCGACTGGCCCGGTAATCCAATATCCGCTGACCCTATAACCCGTTATCCGCAGTACGAGAGTAACCGACCGTTCTACATGACCATGGAGATAGCGGAGGGAATCCGTCGTGGAGAGACCATCGCTGCATCCCTCATGTTGGCCAACAACCAGGAGATTGAGATCCTGGCGCTGGTTGTTCTGGTTGACAGCGAGGACTACCAGTGAGTTCTTACAGGAGCTGCTGTTGTCTGTATGGTGATTCGGTGTTGGAAACAATATATCTGGCTATGATACATGATTTATGATGTATTACTTTCGTCCCAAGACGACAGCAATGTTGCGCCTGATGGTCCGCTGTGCCGAATACTCCCAAATCCTCTAATTTCAGTTAATCTTCATAGATGACGCTACTGTCTGGCGCCTGCATCTATGCTGCACCGTCATACACATAAGATCCCGTCTCTCCCGATCTGTGGAATTATGCCAATGCTGATTTACGTGCTAAGTGTGTATCGTCACATGCCACGTACGCTTTGTCGCCAGATTCGTGCACGTGGAGAAGGACGGTGTCATCTCTCACAGAAACGTGCGGACGTCGGGTGGAGATCACCAGCATCTGGTGCCGGTCAGTGGAATGATGGACAGACGGTTAGATATAGTTGGACAGCCGATGTGCACATTAGCTGGAAATCGGCCCTCGCTTACCATTGCTTGCAAGCAATGTGTGTGCTTTTATTTGACTTCAACAACATTTTGAATGAGGATAGGGCGATGTCATACGTCGATCCGATGGTTCATGCCGCCGTGTCAACCGTACATGGGTCATCCATGCTCAGTCTATCTCCTTATCTCTAACACCGATCTTTACCACAGATCGAGGCGGGCGGTGTGATCGAGGTGATGATTCCGATCAAACCTCTGGTGGAGGCTGGAGAACTTGATCTCTGATCTCTGCACACTCTATACCACAGATCGAGGCGGGCGGTGTGATCGAGGTGATGATCCCGATCAAACCGCTGGAAGGTTGATCTCTGATCTGTATCGATCCACAGATCGAGGCGGGCGGTGTGATCGAGGTGATGATTCCGATCAAACCTCTGGTGGAGGCTGGAGAACTTGATCTCTGATCTCTGCACACTCTATACCACAGATCGAGGCGGGCGGTGTGATCGAGGTGATGATCCCGATCAAACCGCTGGAAGGTTGATCTCTGATCTGTATCGATCCACAGATCGAGGCGGGCGGTGTGATCGAGGTGATGATCCCGATCAAACCTCTGGTGGAGGCCGGAGAGTTTGACGTCACCGTGAAGTGTATCACCCAGTTCGGGCTGGACGTGGAGGAGGCCACTGTCGAGGTCTCGGTAAGTCGGGGGTGGCCGTTGGTGGGGAAGTCTAATGGGTGCCTACCCTTTACGTTGCTGTAGAATCACGCCTTTGTTAAAACCATTTTTGTAATTGGTCACTGGTCTGTTTGCATTTTTTTAGATGGACTTTGTCATTTCATGAATGAGGGCGTCTCATGGGTCGCTTTCCAACCGTTTTATTCTCTTCATCAATACCTCCATCATTATGTTTTCATCCGCCTTCATCATTATCACCATCGTTGGTGTTCTCAACAGCCGGAGGGAGTCGGTATCGGAAAGCACACGTCCTTCCTGTTGGACCTGAAGAACCGCGCCGTGGACCACAAGTTCCTCAACATACTGACGGACCAGTCTCCGGAGGTGCCGTATGCCACTTGGCGACGCTTCGTCTACGGTAGTCCGCAGGCGACGGTCACCGTGTCGGGTTAGTTTGTGGGTTGATTGGTGTCAGGTCAGGTCACGGGTCATGCTGTCGTCAGGTCAGGTCATGGGTCACATACATTGTGTCATAACAGCTCGTAAGTCGCAGTGACGTGTCAGGTCATTCGTTAGGTCTACGATTACTGCCACCATGTCTGGTCACTGTGATAGATTAGTGTAATGGTCACTGGAAAGTCAACAAGGCCATGGGGTCAACCAGTGCTACGTTTGAGTACATCACGTATGCCCAAGGGTTGTTGGGGTGGTTCAGATGAACGAATGTAATCAGCGTCATTATTTGGTTATGTAATACCGGTTGATTATGGATGTATCAGTGCAGTTTGTTAATAATTCTCGGTAATCTCGTAAATCATGCTTGATTCACGGCCCGCTATTCCATGATAGTGAAAGGTGAATCGCACGACCCCCATCACGCCCCGTTTCTAACCGGACACCTCCACTGCGCAGGTGACGTATTCGGTCCCGTGTTCCCTGAGGTGCCAATGACCACAGTCAACGTGTTCGGCCGCTGGCTCAAATCTCTCGACGGCACCGTCTACAACTTGGCCGCCAACATCTGGTCTCTGCACTATCTGCGTCTGACCAATCAGCTGTCTCGTCCCTTCCTGCGCCGTGTGCTGGAGGCGGTCAATGTGCACTTCCTGCTGATTATGAAGCGCTGGAGAGGAGGTCCGTTCCTGTTCTTTGATGGAGGTCGGCCTAGTGTGTGGTGAGTGTGATGAAAATGATTGCTTTCGGTCTAGTCCTGATGTTTCGTGTAGCTATTGTACCCTGTTGTACTGGTACTGTGTTATGTTATGCTGAGGTATCGGTCTGTGTTTGTCTCCTCTCATTTGTGCCTTTTCAGTTATTTTTAGGCCATGTTATCCACTGTGCATCACACAAGCATTCATTATTTAATCGGGATTATTGTACGAGTAGGCTAATTTTCAAAAATGTTGGGCTTGACGCTTTGAGATGACAACATTGGCACTCCTGAAATTCACCGGACTGATAAGATGATAAGACTGATCAGAGGTTCTTGAGTCCCTATTGATGCATTCTTTTCCTGTGTTCAGGGGCACGGCATGGGCGGCACGGCAGCTGCAGTACTCCCAGTTCCAGGACTGGGAGAACTACCTGTACGTCGAGCCGCGTATCCTCTCTGAAGCCGCCGAGTGGATGTGTCTCTACCAGAACTTAGACGGCTCGTTCAACGAGACCGAGTGGTACGAACAGCCCCTGGACCAGAAGATGGACCCGCGCTCCAAAATCGACGGCGAGGAGGGCCGCCAGCGGCGCATTCCCCTGACGGCGCACGTGCTCATCACTCTTCATGAGGTGCAAGATAAGCTGCAGGGGGACGGCAAGGCGGCCGTCGCCACCGCCAAAATGCGTGCCATGCAATATCTCGAACGCAGTCTCAATATCATCACGGATCCATACGAGATAGCCATCACAGCATACGCTCTAACAATCAGTAACAGTGTGAACCGTGATTTCGCCTTCACTAAACTCCACAATGCGCGTAGTGAGATAGAAGGCATGTACTACTGGGCACGAGGGTTGGTTGAGACGAATCCCATCACCAAAGATGTGAACCAGCGGCCCTATCTGGAACCCAAGAACGAACAGGAATGGGATTGCCAGTCGGTGGAGGCCACGTCGTACGCTCTGCTCGTGTATCTGCACCGCGACGGTATCGGCATTGATCAGGAGAAGATGGTCCAGTGGCTCAACTCGATGAGGATGTTCGACGCCGCCTGGCTTTCGACAGTGGTGAGTGGAGGGTGTGGGGGGAGGGGTGAATGGCAGTGGGATGAAGTGAAGGCCCGGGAGCTTATTACGGAGCGAGCGAAGCGAGCGTAGTCTTTCCTTAGATTAACGGAAATTTCTGAGTATGAGCGGCCGGCCGGCCGGCCGGCCGGCCGGCCGGCCGGCCGTGCGGACGCTTTTGCGAGGCTTATATCTCAGCAACCACTTGACCGATTTACACGGGGTAATTTTTGTAGGGTAGCTTCATTCCTTCTACCAAGTATTGGACTATTCCCGATGCATGTGGATGACCCCTTATGCACGTGCCACGCGCAAAACGAAGAGGTGTCAGTTTTGCAATTGTTGCAATATCTCGGTAACTACTTGGCCGATTGCGCTGAAAGTTGGCATGTAGGTAGGCACCCACTAGGCACTGCATATCCATGTGCCAGAGTTGGGGTGCTGCTGCACGTGCGCACGTGCAGGGGTCGTTTCCAGATCTCGAGAACGGCTGGACCGATGGCGCTCAAATTTGGTACACGGTTAGTGACCAGTTAGTAGGGTGCCGTGCACAAGTCAGTTGGGACCCATTTTGCACGTGCGCACGTGCAGGGTGCCGCTCCCAGATCTCGAGAACGGCTGGGCCGATTGTGCTCAAATTTGGCACATCGCTAGAAACCGGTCAGTAGGGTGCGGTGCACAAGTCAGTTGGAGGTACCCCCTCGAAATTTCGCACGTGCAAGACTCACCCCCTCGCTCGCTCCGTTAGTCGCCCCAAAAGGCGCTATACTGGTTTATTGAAATTGTAAATAGATGTAAGGTTAGGGGTAGGTGGACAGGATTTGGTGGCGAATTGCCAATTATATTCTGATTTCTCGTAATATCACAGTGAATTGTACCCAGTAAATTAAATTGTACACAGTAAATTGTAACAAGCTGTTATTTATCCGATTTCACACAAAACTAGCTTGCACCTCGCATAAATTTATATAGTTGTTATCTATCCACGGCTAGCTTCTCTTCCTATTTATCATTTCCTAGCGCTGAGCTCTTGTCTCCAAGTCCCTTGGCGTTTGACATAACCCGTTCGATATTCAGCTCGGCCTTCCTGTGCTACCGTCTAACACCCAGTGTCCCCTCTCCAGGACTCCATCGTGGCAATGCAGGCTCTGTGTGAGTACTCGTACCGCGCCCGACTGCGAGACATCACAGACATGCGCGTCACCATCGAGACATCCGGGCTGCGCGACTTCCAGGAGGTGGTTCACATCACCAACAACGCCACCTCCGTCATCCCTGCTGTCGATGTAAGTGATTGTAAACGGTTCTCTCAGGGAGAGGAGAGAGAGAGAGAGAGAGAGAGAGAGAGAGAGAGAGAGAGAGAGAGAGAGAGAGAGAGAGAGAGAGAGAGAGAGAGAGAGAGAGAGAGGGTAGAGAGAGAGAGAGAGAGAGAGAGAGAGAGAGAGAGAGAGAGAGAGAGAGAGAGAGAGAGAGAGAGAGAGAGAGAGAGAGAGAGAGAGAGAGAGAGAGAGAGAGAGAGAGAGAGAGAGAGAGAGACCGGAGGGGATCGGACCGTATAGGGGGGGGGGGGGGGGGGGGGGGAGAGGCTCGGTACTGAGACTGGCTAATGGACCCGTCTGGTCGTATCTGAGAAGGATGGATATTGACGTAACTGGGCATGAATAGCGGGCGGCTATTGTCGGGAGAGGAGCGGGCGTAGTGCGTCATAACGGATACGAGAGACCGCGACAACAGGGCAGCGTAAATGATTAATGTCGATTTATATTTCCAGCTGGGTTCTTCTGTGTCCGCCTTATGCAGAGTTCTAAATGGAATAAAGGTCAGATAGTCCATTCTTATCTACTCGATAAAGAATGCACAGGTGAAGCTCTTAGCACAACGTCCGTGACGGTCTACCACGTGTCATATTGGATCATGTAAGCACTCTTCTGATAACATAGGTTCACATCTATTTTTTCATTCACCTCTCTCCCTCCCTTTTTCTCCGCAGCTGCCGAACGTTTGGGGTCACGTGAACGTGGTCGGCACGGGCGCCGGTCAGGCGGTGGTCCAGCTAGACCTCTCCTTCGGTATCGATCGAGAGGACCTCAAGGATACGCCGCCCGTCAAGGCCTTTGACCTGTTGGTAAAGGAGAACGCCATCCAGGCGGCCAGGAACAAGTCCATCATCCACGTGGAGGCGTGCTTCAAGTGGGTACCGATGCAGTTGGCGATGGTGCAGTAGTTTTACTTTTACAGGTCGTAGTCTCTGATCTATTTTGTATGTAAAGCTTTTTGTGGTAATATGGAACTGAAATAACATTAAAGGGACTATCCCACCTTCTAAAATGTTGTTAAAACCAGTTAAATTGTGCCCGACTTTATAGATTGGATGACCAGGAACACGGTTCTGGCATTTATTTTTCATTAAACATCTTAGGCTTCCCATATTCCAAACACAAACTTTCAAATATGTGACGTCACAGCCCAAAATTACGTCCTTCCCCAGGCCACATTACTGTCATAAAGCTGATTTTTTTTTTACTCTGTAGGCACCACAACAAAGTTCAGACCAAGTTTTAAGCGATTTTTCAACGAACAAACCCATTTAAATCAGAATGACTAAACGAGGTGACGTCACACTAACGGTCGCTCCATGTTGAAGATAGGGCCTTGTACAAGGCCCATTTTCAAATGAAGGGAACGAATTTCTTCAACACCAAGAGGCCGCGGGGGTTGCAACCTAGATAGATCGTGGTTTCTGAACCTCGCCGCAAACTTGGCTATCTCAACTCAAACCCCATGTTAAAGGTGGGATAGTCCCTTTAATTTTGCATTTTGATTGATTCATAACGAGGACTGTGAACTTTGACCCTACCTTGACCTCTCATCTTATCCTGACCGTGACCTATGATATCTCCCTAACTTATAAACCTCACGTGACCTCGCCTAACCTCACCTTGTTACCTGTGGCTCCACTGTGACCTCTGGCCCACCCCAACCCATGACCCCCTCTTGACCTGTGACATCTGGACTTTACCCTATCCTGTCTGTTATGTCTCGCGGCCCACCATCGACACACCACCGCTCGGTTCCGACTGACTGTATTGTAGCACGGTGGTGGGGACGACAGGAGGGTCGTCCCCTCAGGCAGTCCCTGACCTGGGCAGGGACCGACCCAGGTATCACACACACAGTAGCAGGCAACTCACATATCGGCCACCGCCAATGCCCAGGCAGGGGTCTGCACAGGTGTGCACACGGCCCATTACATAACACCTCTCCACCCTATTTTCTTAGTATCGGCCTCGGCCTCAAGTTATAGCGACGCGGCGGATCATCAGGCTGCGGCTGAGTGGTACACTGAGCCGCAGACGGCGGCCGCGGCGGGGACGGCGGCGGCGTCTCGGCGTCCCCGGGCTGAGTGGTCCCTGGATCCGCAGACGGCGGCGGCGACGGCAGCGGCGCCGCGGATGCGGCCCTGGTCCCCGGCGGCCCCCCGGCCGCGGGATCCCTCTCCGCTGGTGCGGCGAGTCGTCCTCTTCCCTCCTCGGAAAGCGGTGTCCCAGGCGGAGGCGGCTGCATCCAACCCGGCGGCATGGACGGCGTCGGCTCATCGGTCAGCTCCATCTGACGGCTAGAACCGCTGGGCACCACGAAGTCTAGGTGGCGCTGTATCACGCGGCCGTCCTCCAGACGAACAGTGATCTTGGATCCAGAGCGGCTCACGCAGTGTCCCGGGAGCCAGCGTGTTCCCCGTCCGACGCCGGCCAGTCCGGAGACCTGTGACACCCAGACACGCATTCCAGGGGTTAGAACACGATCCTGTGACCGACGGTCATATCTCTCCTTCATCTGCTGCTGTGCGGCTGACACACGGTCCTGTAGGTCAGGCAGTAAACAATCCATACGAGTCCGCAAACGTCGGCCCATCATCAGCTCTGCTGGAGTCTGCGCCGTTGTGCTGTGAGGAGAGGTACGGTAGGCAAACAGAAACCGGCAGATTTTCGTGTCCATGCTGCCATGTTTCTGCTTTCTCAGGCCCTGCTTCACCGTCTGCACACAACGCTCCGCTAGACCGTTACTTTTGGCCGACAGGGGTGCGGTCAGCAAGTGGCGCATGCCCAGCTGCTTGCAGAACGTCTCGAACGCTGGCGCTGTGAAACATGTTGCGTTATCACTGACCAGGGTCCGCGGGATTCCAAAATATGCAAATGACTTGCGCAGCAGCTCCATGGTATTCTCGGCTGTCGTTGAACGGGCCAAGTGCACGTCAATCCATTTTGAGTACGCATCGACAACAATCAAGAGCAAGTGGCCATCGAACTGGCAGTGATCAATATGCACTCGGTCCCAGGGATTTTTCGGCCAAGCCCACGGACTGAGTGGCGTCACGGGTGCCTGTCGGCGATACTGCTGACATGTCGGGCAGTGACGCACCAGTTCAGAGACTTCCCTGTCTATCCCAGGCCACCAGACATACATACGAGCGAAACTTTTCGTGTGACTCTCTCCCAGATGTCCCTCATGCAGCATAGACAGAATTCTAGGCCGAATCTTGGGGGGTACCACCACCCGTGACCCCCACAGCAAACATCCATCCTGAATGCTCAGCTCACCTTCCTTGCTTCGGTACTGTACCAGCTCTGGCATCACGAGGTCGCCCGATGGCCAGCCCTCTCTGGTGAAGCGCAGAACGGCACTCAGCACAGGATCCCTGGCGGTGAACAGACGGATGGACTCAGCGGTGACCGGTGACGAGTCGAAGAACTGCATCAGGTGCACCGTCTCAGCTGGAACGGGCAGCTGGGGCGATCCTGCAGACACAGGAAGTCGGCTCAATCCATCACAGTGTCCCTGCTTGATACCCGGCACATATTCCATCTTATACTTGTACCCCGAGAGCAGCATAGCCCATCGTGTCACCCGGGGAGAGGCCATCAGTGATACCGGCTTATTTCCTCCAAGCATACCCAGCAGCGGCTTATGATCTGTCCGGATCAAGAATTCACGACCTGCCAAGTAAAAATTGAACCTGGCCAGGCCAGCAATCACTGCCAGGCCCTCGCGATCGGTCTGGGAATACCGTCTCTCAGTCTCCGACAGAGACCGCGAGTAGAACGCAACTGGCCTCTCAACATGGTTCCTGTCCATGATACTTAGGACACATCCTACCCCCACCGGGCTGGCATCACAAGCCAAAATGACTGGAGCTGTCTCGTCAAAGTGCGCTAAAGTCAGGGTTGATTTCAGCATACCTTTCGTACTCTGAAACGCCTTCCTCTGAGCTGGGCCCCATTCCCACTTCTGCTCCTTTTTCAGCAGCTGATACAGCGGTGCCAGTTCTGTGGCGAGGTTTTTCAGGAACTTCGCGTAATAGTTGACCAGGCCGAGCCATGCCTGAAGCTCTTTCAAGTTTTTGGGCTCTGGGGCTTTTTCAATGGCACTGACCTTGTCTGCTGTTGGTTTGATACCATCTGCCGTGATGTGGTGTCCCAGATACACCACTTCTGATGCCGCGAACTGACACTTCTTCCGCTGCAGTCGCAGTCCTGCCTCCGACAGACGTCTCAGAACCTCCTCCAGCCGCTGCAGATGTTCCTGTTCGGATCCTGCTGAGACAATGACGTCATCGATCAGCACACCAACTCCTGGGATTCCAGCGAGCAGCGATTCCATGTATCTCTGGAAAATCGCCGGGGCTGAGGCATATCCAAAACCCAGCCTAGTCGGTACCAATATTCCCTTGTGCGTATTGATAGCCATGTACTTCCTGCTGTTTTTATCTAGCTGAATCTGATTATATGCGCTTTTCAGATCTAGTTTCGTGAAAATTCTGGCACCCTGAAACAGCGTGAATAGCTCCTCAGTCTTGGGCATCGGGTACCTCTCTAGCGGCGTTACTTTGTTGACCGTTAACCGATAATCACCACAGAGACGGACCTCACCTGACGCCTTCAGTGCAGTGACGATCGGTGCAGCCCACGTGCAGTGTTTCACCGGTTCCAGCAGCCCGGCCTGGATCTGACGGTCCAGCTCGGCGTCGACAGCAGCACGGTACGCCAGCGGTACCGGCCTGGGCTTGTAGAAGATGGGACGTGTGTCTGGGTCAATCGGGATATCTACCACAATCCCCTTCGCACATCCCAACTCATCCGCAAACACATCAGAGTGCTTATGCAGCACAGACTCAACTCCGCTTCCCAGCGTCTGCGTCGTCACCATGCAGATGGTTCTCCAGTCCAGTCTGATGCTCTCCAACCAGTTCCTGCCGAAGAGCAGCGGCCCTGTCCCATCAACTACTACCAGGGGCAGGCTAAACGACTCTCCGCGGTACACCACGTCCATCTGTACCTCACCTCGGACCTTCAGAGGCTCGCCTGAGAAGGTGTGTAGGATGAGGCTGCACGGCTGCAGACGGCGTTTCTTCTCCGGCCAGAGCTCTTGAAACCTGCTGAACGAACAGACGGATACAGATGCACCCGTGTCAAGCTCCATCCTGACATCACGCCCATCCAGCGACATGTCCAGCATGATCGGAGGCCGGCTCTTCACCACATGAATCCGCTCCCGACACTGAAAAACCTCCCCGATAAAGTCACATTCTTCAGTGTCTGCCTCCATCACCCTCTGCTCTTCCCCAGATCCTGCACCATCGCCCTCCTCCTGACGGACCACCTCCGACCCAACATGTTTCACCGTCCCTGCCCGGTGAGCGGCCGATGTATGCCCGTACTTGGAACACTGGAAGCAGCGCTTACGTTTAAAGTAGCATTCGGATTCAGAGTGCGTTCTGTTCAAACAGCGCCAGCATCTCTCACCTTCATGCCGCGCTTGCTTACTGGCGTTGTGTCGCTCCTGGCTGGTCCGCTGTGAGGCTGACGGGCCCGTCCGGACACGGTTCACTGCCGTCTCCCCCGTAGCGGACACCACCGGCTGGCCAGCTCCCGCCAGCTCCTGTAGGTTTTGACCTGCTGTTTCCGTTGCCACAGCAATCTTGATTGCCTGCGGCAAAGTCAGCTCAGCTTCTGCCAGCAACCTGCGCTGAATGGGGTCAGAGTTAACTCCACACACCAGCCGGTCTCTGATCATTTGATCAAGAAACGATTCGAATTTGCAGTCCCGTGACAGCTGTCGCAGGCGCGCCACAAACTCCTGAACAGACTCTGACTGTACTCGACAACAGGAAAAGAACCGATATCTTGCGACAGTTACCGATGTGGGCGGACAAAATTGCTTGCTCAATGTTTCAACAATCATGACATACGTCACCTCATTTGGTTTTTTCGGTGACAACAGCGATCTTACCGTACCGTATGTCCGAGCTCCCATACTGCTGAGGAGAATGGCCCTCTTCTTAGCATCGTCCTGGATGTCATTAGCCACGAAGAATTGATCCAACCTTTCCGCATACTCTTCCCAGTTATCTTGTCCTTGGTGAAATTCTTCAATCTTCCCCAACGGCATGGCTCCGTCCTCACTCCGCTCGTCGCCAATGTTATGTCTCGCGGCCCACCATCGACACACCACCGCTCGGTTCCGACTGACTGTATTGTAGCACGGTGGTGGGGACGACAGGAGGGTCGTCCCCTCAGGCAGTCCCTGACCTGGGCAGGGACCGACCCAGGTATCACACACACAGTAGCAGGCAACTCACATATCGGCCACCGCCAATGCCCAGGCAGGGGTCTGCACAGGTGTGCACACGGCCCATTACATAACACTGTCCCTCTGACCCCATCTTGACCTCACGCTGATCTCTGACCTGACCCCTGACCTGACCTCTCTTTGCGTCAGGTGGGTGAACACGGACGAGTCTCCGACCAGCGGTGCCGCTATTTTGGAGGTGGAATTCCCCAGCGGCTACAGAATCGATCAGCAGGTGGCCAACGCTGACGTCCGTAACGCTAAGCGCAACAGTTTCAATACACTGATGAACGGCAAAACCGCCCCCGACAAGATCTTCTGGTTCTTCGACAAGGTAGGAGCGGTATTCTTTGGACAAGGATGAAATGGTTGAAACGTGTCATGTCGCTGAAAGAGCTCGTTATTATGAGACCTCAAATACTTATTATGAACGTAGCTTACTTTTTCTTGATAAATAATGATTAAAGTAAAGCATGCTGATGCCTCCCATTCTCCAATATACCCTAGGAACACAAGTAAACAATAAAGATGCTATTATTGAAGCTTATTGTACTTATCGTGGCAAGCCGATCCATCCGAAAATGGCTTTTATTGGCTGCCGAGTCAGGCGAAACGAATGAGGTGGGCACAACATAACACACAACACACACGCGTCACATTTGCACACATATTCACTTACACACCAAATAAAAATCGCAATAGGAGCTTAAAAAAAAAAAATCCGTGAAAAAGTGGCCGGTCGAAGGTGATGAATCTCGTCTTACCCTCCCCGCCCGTTCTCACAGGTGTACAGCAACTTCACACAGTGCTACAGCTGGACCATCTACCGCCGCTTCCTGGTGGCCAACTACACCGCCGTCCGCACCGCCTTCATGTACGAGTACTTCGCCCCAGAGCGCTTCGAGATGTTCATTCTCAACTCCACCGAGCTGAACGTGATCGATATTTGCCAGGTGTGCGGCTCCTACCAGTGTCCCTACTGTCCCTGGTATAGTGCCGGTGCGGTGCACGGGCCCGGGTTACTGGTGGGTATCGCACTAATGGTGGCTGTTTTGGTCCAAGTGGCGGGGGTGTCGTTGATCGGTGGGGATGAGGAAGGGGGCGAGGAGAGGCATTCGAGGGGACGGCGGACGACCGGTGGGGGTGGGGAGAGGAGCGGGAGGGGTGAACTTGGGGCAGAGGGGAGGGGAGGGCAGTGCAGCAGTGTAGAGTGATCTTGGTGGGTGACTGTGATGTGTGGATGCGTTTGTAGATGGTTGTAAGCGTGTGTTTGTAAATGTTTGTATGTGTTTGTAGATGTTTGTTAGTGAATTTAGACTGGTGCTGAGATTGTGCCGACGGTGCCTTCGATTTTTACTGCGAATGCGTCACAAAAAGATGAATGTTATGCAAGGATGTACGTTCAATCGGTGTTTTTACATATATATAGCTGTGTATTTTACATGTCGCTAGTGCCTTAAAATGGTTGATTTCAGTGCTTCAAGATTGCAATCTCACTGGACCGGTATATGTGCAAGCAATGCGAAGCATTTCATGTAAAATGTTGTTAGTAAAAGTAGAAGTGAAGCAAACCTCCTTTTTCTCACTCATTTTATGGCGTTGAGCCACCCAGCGAAGTTGCGTATTGCACTTCTTGGGTTTGCAGCAATACCGTTATAAAACTCCACGGTTGTCTCCGTTTTTCTTCCGATGTACTTAGATTTCAATTTTCATTACATTCTGTTTGGATTTTATCGACACATTTCTCCTTTGACTTTTATTTCGGTAGAATTTTAATGTATTGTGTTTCACATTCCATACACGACACAGGTCACATGCCATTTGAAGATTGTCTTGACTGAATCGTTTACTAGGCTGGTGATGTTTATCGTTTGATGCCTGAAGCGGTAGGATGTTTTGGGAGTTGCTTCCCTCGTATCTCAAACCGTCCATTGCGAAGAGTAACGCATTTTGCACATTATGTCAAATAATAAGCCGGGGTGATACCATTTGTTGTGAATATCTCGCCATAAAAATAAATTGTCCAATGGAATGATATGATCGTTTTTCTTTACTTTACTATCCTAGCATTTTACATGAACTCGTATCATGCTTGACATACTTGGTTTACGGTAACCGGTAGCTGAGGCAACTACGGTCTCAAGTTGAACAGCCACACTGTGAAAGTTATTGCAATACAGCAATCCAATGCAGATAATGGAAATCGCACAATTGAAAACGGTGCTCTGTATGAAGAAAGGAAGTGCTACGAAACCAAAATATAACTATTAGAAGGTTTTATCAGGCAAGTGTATTATTGGTTGTTAACCATAAGTTAAATCAATCAACAATTGTTACAGCAGAGACAGAGCGGTAATGCATCTCTTGGGGAACATCTTCAGCCAATCATGTTATGGTCGCCTTGTTTTGCAGAGCTAACTTTTACAGCGTTTCCAACTTCTAAGGGAGGGAATCGTTTTTGTGCTAACTTTTCAGTCGCCCATTACACGCACGGTAACTTCCGGTCTTTGAACAGCGGGGTAGGTACCTACCCCGACTGTTTGTGAGCGTGGGTGGGGGGAGGGGCACGTTTGTCTGGGGCGAGGCGGTCGCCCTATCGGCGCAGTATTATTGCTCCGCGTATACGCAGCGCACCGCGGACACCGTCGCGTCGGTGCCGATGCGTCGTTTCCGACGGGCATTCAGTGACGGACAGTCGCCGGCGGAGCGTCAGCCGTCATATGCTGGTGTCGTTCAAGACTGACAGTGCTGAGGTACTTTGGACCGAGAACGAACATAGTGTGGGAGACGGGTAACCGCGAGCGGACAGGTGAATAACGCAAACAAGGTGAGGCCTCTGTAGACAGAAGAGGCGATGACGCAGAGGCGAAATGTAAACAGAAACGAAATTGATTAACGGCATACGGGACTGAAAGTGTTTGCGTTAGGACTTCCACTATAAGTGGATATTGATTGAATTATAAAAGGAAGAGTGACCTCAAGAATCTAGGGCGAACCCGGAGAGAATTGAGAACATAACAACGACATGAAGAGAGCCACGAGCTAGCGTGCGTTCCCGATCGGGAGCTGAGCTGCGGGAGAACGATCAGATATTTCTGGAACGACTTGGTCGGATCTTCAAACCACCGCTGCAGGTAAACAGACAAAACAGACAAACAGGTAAACAGAGGTTCAGGGCTTTATTCATTGATGGCTGTGGAAAAGTTTGTTTTATTATAGCTAGCGTTCATAAAATTGCACTAAAAAGCACACACCATTGGCCCACCGTTTAAAGAAAATCGTTTGTTCAATGGAAATGTAGGGGAGAGTGGGGTAAGATGCCCAGGGTGGGAAAGACGCCCCACCCCCTCTAGCGGCGAAACAAAGAATCGAACCTGGAAATTAATGTTCTTAGCGTAAAGCGGAAGCCTGCCTTGTTAACTGCACAAAAATTTGCGAAGCTCAGTTGGGCAACGGCTGGCTGGTGATTGCATGTTTTTTATTTGCTGTGGGACCGATTCCCTTCTTCCATATCATGATAAAGAGAGTACACGTTCAAGCTTTGTTACATAGAAATAGCCGTCACTTTCCCCACGTGTCGGCACCGTCCACCGACCCGGCGGGTCGGCGGACCGGTCCTTCATTGTGCAACCACCCTGCATATAACGCACAGGCACTGGCGAATCAGAATCAGAACCACAGTTGCAATACAAGTCTCGCCTACGCTTCCCTGGGGGAGGGAAGATAATGTGGGACCGATTCCCTTCTTCCATATCATGATAAAGAGAGTACACGTTCAAGCTTTGTTACATAGAAATAGCCGTCACTTTCCCCACGTGTCGGCACCGTCCACCGACCCGGCGGGTCGGCGGACCGGTCCTTCATTGTGCAACCACCCTGCATATAACGCACAGGCACTGGCGAATCAGAATCAGAACCACAGTTGCAATACAAGTCTCGGCCCGCTCAGTCGTCTCTCCTTCCGCGCCTCCGCGACATTGCTGCTTTCAAAAAATATTTTGGTGTCAAAACATTGTAAATATCAAAGGAGGTAGATAATTTTTGCGTCCCTTGCTATAGTCGTGATACATTAACATGCGTGTACTGTGTCCCAAACAGTTTGTTTCAGGGTGTAGTTGTATGACTAACAAATTGTACTGATTTAATGTTACTTCGGTACCTTGGGGTAAGATGCCCCCTGTCCTGATGGGGAAAGACGCCCCCTAAATCCGTAGGCTGTCTTTCAAGCAGTCCGTCAAATCATTTATTACATACTTGTGATGAGAGACAAAAGCCGATCTGGGACTATTGAGAGTCCAGTACGGTCGGGTGCTCCCCATGCCGGTCTCTCGGCCCACACAGCGACTTTTTGGGCGGCATCTGACTCCGAGAGCGAGAGCCCTCACGACGGCCTCTGTGGGCCCCATTATTGGCTCCAGGGCCCCTCACGACATCCTTTGAGGGCTCCCACGTTGGCTCCACGGGCCGCGCTGGCATCTGAGGTCCCCACGATGGGCTCGAGGGCCCTCAAGCATCATGAAGACCTATAAGGGCCCCACAGTGGTCTCCGAACGCCACCACGGAGGCTTGTTTGGCCGCGCTGGACTATGTTGGCCCTAACGATGACCTCTGAAGCCCCTTACGACTACTTTTGAGGGCCCTTACGATGACGTTTGGTGTCTACTGCAGGCTCGAAGGGACTACTGATTCGTTCAGGCAATTCACGTGCCCATTTTTGCCACTTATAGTGCGGAGGGGCATCTTACCCAACCCCAGGGGGCGTCTTTCCCACCCTGTGGGGTAAGATGCCCCCTTTCACTTCTTCAGGAAAATGCTTAATAGCAAAAACAGTTATCATATTCGAGGCACGAAAGTGTGATATTTTTGGAGAAAAATGATGTCGGCTTCCGTTGAAACTCCAAGTTTTTGCTTTCCGATCGTCATTTTCGAATAATATAGGGGAGAGTGGTGCAGGAGGCCCCCCCTTAAGCTCAGTTGCTATTTTTAGACAACTGATAATATTTAAGAGCTAACGTGTGCATGCGCTGTGAGCATGCATCATTTTCCCATACATATTTGCATTCATAATGAATCTAGGGGGTACACAAACCGTAAACTTTAACATTTTGGGAAAAGTTGCAAAAGGGCCTCTTACACTATGGGTATGGTAAGACGCCCCCCCCCCTCGGGCGTTTTACAAGTCAAGTCGACTTGTAAAAGACGCTTTGCGAACACAGCTGCAAGGCCTTTTATTTCGAAAAGCTAAGCAAATACGGTGTTATCGAAACCAACCAACACTTCCAAAGCGCTCGAACAATGCGAAAACTAGCACAACCAAACGCTGATGACCAACGAAAATTGTACCTATTACCTCTAAGAAAAGAAACAGAAAAAAGAAACAAAAACAAACTCCTTGAAAAAAGAATGCCACGCCTGCCGCAGGTGCAGGCGTTTTAGCATCGGGGGCGTTTTTTATCGGGGGGCGTTTTATCATCCTCGAAGGGAGGGCCTCTTAAACAAATGCAGTGTTTTAACGTCCACATTATTTATGGCTTATGAGACATTTGCAGCGCACCAGAGCATGGTCTATTCTGAAGCTAGCATGTGACAATTTCGATGAGATAAGATTGCATTTGATAGCCATTGTTTTTTCAGATATATAAGGGTGATAATGATGCATATACAGGGTGTCCGGAAAGTCCTGGCGCTTCTTTTGGACGCCGTGTAACGCGCGCTGTGATTATTGGACATTCAGCCAATCATCACAGACATGACCCCTCGTTGATTGCTCAGCCAGGGGTCGTGTAAATATGACCTTGAAATCGTTTTCAGTGATGGGTAGATGGGCGAAGATGCGCCTTGTCGCTGAATGCCTGCGCGCGGCGGCCGGGTGCGACTTGAACGAGGCGCGAGTTGCAGCGCGATGCGGCGTTTTTCGATGAATGGTTTAGCAGGTAAAGGTTTATTTCGACTCGGGAATTCCTTAAAAAATATCCTCAGACCGTTTCGAACGCGATATGGGAACGGAGCAGCATTTCAACGCGGCAATCGAAGAAAGTGCGGGGGTCTGATGGACAAAAATGTCCCATCATCTTCGTCAATGTCGAATAAATGAATAACAGACTGGCCCACGAGGGGTTCCTGGACAGCCACATCAACCCGTGGGTCAAGACGACATGCCCTAAGGGTCACTTCGCATTTCAACAGCACAGAGCACCCTCCAACAACGCCGCCGCCATTCAAGCTAAACTGACAGAGGAGCTTGCCGGGCCAGATCACCGTGGCGAAATGAGATTAGGCCGCCTTATTCTCCTAACCTGACCCGCTCGACTAAGGCGTGCTACGCGTTTTGTAGAACAGGATCTAGGCCATTTCTCACCCCAACCTGGAGTCGCTGAAGACTCGCATCATGACAGCATGGGAGGACCTGGAAATGCCCCGCATCGTCAAAACCCGCAGACGCTTCCTCCCCTACGTCGAGGCCGTCGTCGGCGCCGACGGTGGTTACATTGAATGAGCACGTAGCGGAAGCATGTGGCTTGGTGTCCCTGGTCATTGTTTTGATCCATTGATTAGTATCTATGAACCAATGGCATTTGTTTTAGAAAATGTTGAAAAGCGCCAGAACTATCCGGACACCCTGTATCTAGCAAGTAAAGGGGCAAAAACAGAAACAGGCTTACCAAAAGTCGCTGCGACGCACCTGATACCTCAGGTTTCGTGAGTTGTTGTTTCAAGAGGGCTTCTGCTTTACAAGAACCTTAAAAAATAAATAACATTATTGGTTTGGTAAAAAAAGCGATGGGGCCTCTTACCGACCCTGGGCGTCTTACACGGATCTCCCCTACGACATAGTAAAACCCTGGGCATCTTTCCCCACTCTCCCCTATGTTAGAGCAGCGAAGTCATTTTTCGCTGACTTCTCTTTTTCGTGAATAGCAAGAGCTCTTCAAATTATTTAGGTATCACCAAGCTTCTAGCTAATGTACCTAGATTGAGGCTCTGAAATTGTTGCGAAGAATGAATTTTGTTACCAAATGCTCAGGTTCAGCGTGCCTTTTCTGCATCCACTTATGTGCTCATGGCCTTTTACTAATGTTTGTAATAAATACCGACGAACACTGCACAGTGTGCCTCACTGTTTGCACTTTCCCTTTACCTACCTATGCGCGACAAACAAAGCTTTAACCCGTGACCGCCTGGGGGGGGGGTCGGATCCGACCCCCCCCCTCCGTTTTTCTTGAATAACTCATGAACCGCTTAAGCTATCAACTTGAAACTTCGCATACCTTCTCCCCCATCAATTTGACGTCTCCTGTGCAATTTTTAAGAAAAAAATTTCAAAAATTTCTGAGATATATCGATTTTAGTGATGTAACTACATAGCGTTTTCAGTCAAAAAATGGTAAATGTTTAAAAAATCGCCAAAAATCGAGGTTTTAAGCAAATTGCAAATTAAGGACATGAAAAGACGCAGCTCAACAAGTTCTTTAAAATGGCTATCTCGGATTTTCCATAAAATGCGTTTTTCACCCCTAAAAATTCAAAAAACTATATTTTTTGGAAAACAGCTAATAAAATCCAAAATTTTGAGAATTTCCAAAAAACCGGAATATATGTTATAGAGCTCTATTAGAACATTAGATGTCCCAAATTTCAACTTTCTATCTTGATTTTTGACCCCCAAATTGTAAAAAATAGCTCCAACATGCATAGGGCATGGTGACGTCATAAGCGTTTTCGCGAATTAGAGGCACTTCTGAACATCGCATGTGAAAACAAATGGCACCACTAGATTCCTGGGACAAAGCTCGTCTAGAAAAGTGCATTTTTATGTCAAAAATAAAAAGTTGAAAAATTGACCTTTTTTTCTTAGCCCTCGTTTAGTTATGTATGGTATAAACGATTTTTTATGCTTTCAATGCACACTTATCACCAGCACAGTGACTTGGGGTCACATATAACCATTACCATCGGATTTGGCGTGAAAAAATAAGCCATAAAACATGTGTCGCACGCCCATGTAGCAGAAAGTGAAAACCGTGACCTTTCGTGACCTGACCTGACCTTGACCCGTACTTAGTATGACCCCTATACGCACATGGTACCTTCACTAGGTCTTTGAGGTCATTTGTGGTGAGTTTCGAGCAGCAGCTATCGATTCCGCTGTCCGTAAGCCTAATCATGCAAAACCCCTGAATTTGACCTTTGACCTGACCTTGACCCGAAAGTTGACCTCAATCTTAAAATCTTAAGAGTGCTTTGGGAAGGTCTCGTAGAGACCTTTCGAACGCCGCCTCGCGGGGCTCGATACGACCATTGGTTCTCGAGATAACAGGGGGGGGGGGTCGGATCCGACCCCCCCCAGGCTGATGTGGGTACGGAAATAGCCCAGGCGGTGCCGGGTTAAGCACTTCACTTAGTAAATTAAATGCTTGCGAATGTATGCTTTGAATGGTGGAGCACAGCGATTTCAAGCTTTTCAATATACCTAATGAATCCCAACTAAAATTCCGATGCGAACTTGGAAGTGTAGAGGACGAGCCTTGAGATCGAACTTATTTCCTGAGATAATTTGTGAGATAAGTAAGTTGTGAGATAAGATATAAGTTGTGAAGTGCAATTAAAATAGATTAAAAACCAATTCAATGAAATGAATAATCATTTTATAGCGCATTTAACCTTCAAGTCTATTCATTCTGAGAAGTGGAATGCTCGCGGCTCTGCGAGATCTCGCGTTGCATCTATGCAACAGTCTCTGGTAACTTCCTATCTTTTGGCAGGAGTTCTGCTCGCCTTCTTTGCGTCCAGCCATGGCTATGAACACAGACATCCGAACGAGCGCACAGCAGTTCCTGCGCTCGATGCTGAGTCGCATGAACCTGACTCTGGGCGACTGGTACGCCTACCGGAACTACTCAGGTCACCTGTTCGATGACCTGGATGACCTGGACGGGCCGGGCGGCCCCCAGCGCGCGGACGCCTGCGGTGATGGAATGCGCTGGCTGAGAGACTCCTACCGGCCCGTGCATGGCTACCTAGCTCTGGCTATCTGCCTGTTCGGCTTCGTGGCCAACGTGCTCAACATCGTGGTGTTGACGCGGAAGGAGATGAGATCGTCGACGAACGCGATCCTCACCGGACTGGCTGTGGCGGATGGTTCCGTCATGCTCGAGTACATGCCGTTCGCAGTGCATAACTATGTGCGCGTCTCCTCCAACACATTCTCGTACTGGTCGGCGCGGTATGTGCTGTTCCACGCGCACTTTGCGCAGATCTTCCACACGGTGTCCATATTCATGACGGTAATGCTGGCCATGTGGCGATACTTGTTGATCGTGGAACCTAGCGCCGCGGTGCGACGCTGCACTGTGCGCCGCACAGTCGCCGTTATTGTCGCCGTGTACGCCATCTCGCCGCTTATCTGTGTGCCGTCCTACTTCACATTTTCCGTGCAGAGCCGGTCAGCCGGCGCGGGCGCAGAACCTCTCTACATCATCGACATCAGCGACATCGCGCGGCGGCACCACGGCCTGCTGAACCGGATGAACTTCTGGCTGTACTCGGTGCTCATCAAGCTGGCGCCGTGTCTGGCTCTGACGTACTTTTCTCTGCGGCTGATCGCCGTCCTTCTGGAAACCCGACGGAGGAAGAGACGGCTGCTGGCGGCCGGCACATCGCCTGCCCCCAGAGGTAGGAACGTCACCAGCTCGCTAGCCCAGGGAGTGCGGCACACGGACCGCACCACCAGTCTGCTGGTGGTCGTCCTGCTGCTCTTTCTGCTGACCGAGCTGCCGCAGGCTGCGCTGGCCATGCTCTCAGGGGTTCTCCAGGAGCATTTCTTCCGCACCTGCTACCAGCATGTCGGTGAGCTTCTCGACATCCTGGCGCTCACCAACTCGGCGGTAAACTTTGTGCTGTACTGTATGATGTGTAAGCAGTTCCGCGCCACCTTCTGGGCACTAATCGGCTGTCCACGTGACTGTCACCGGCCGCCGCAGCAGATACTGCTTAACAGTCACGTGATCAGCCTGCCAAAGCAGGTCGCTGTCAAAACGACGCTCGTCTGATAGAACGTTGGGGCACATGGGGTCTTACGACGGCGTGAGACTAATTGTGATTTGGCAGGTGATCGCTGGATGTTTGTACGCATACAGAGACATTGTGTTTATTGATGTAACGCATATTGGATATGCCATATGTGAATGCTGAAATGGAGTCGTGATCTTCACAGACCATGATCGTTACGGAATACGTTTTGTCTGGGATGACAGCGAATCTTTTAAAACTAAACTACACCGTTCCATGCTTCTATCCTCAGGATACGGAAGTCCTTCTCCTCCACGCCGCAACCCCCCTCCGGGCTGGACAGGCAACTTTATCTCATGCGGGCTGCTCCCTTGGAGCGGCACCGCTGCTCCCGAGGGAGCGCACCCCGTAGCCGGGTGCAGTGAGTACTTTGGGGCTGGTTGGCCTGTCCTTCGGGATGGGCTCAGCCCCGGTGACTCACTAGGGTGCCTGCCCAGACCAATGTCTCCCCCTCATTCCTATCATCCTTCCGGCTCTGAAATGGTCTAATTGGACCGAAAGGGCCTAACCAAAAAAAAAAAAACTACTGTAAAGTTTGTTTAAACTAGCTCGTATTAAAGGTCTTTCGTCTGAAACCGGCCTGAGGTACTTTATCACCACGGTTGGCTAAAACCGTCTTGCATAATCTCGGTGCATATCTACTTACCTACTGGTTAAATATGTGCGATGCCAACTATTTGTGATGCCCCTCTTGCATAAACCCTGAGATAGCTTTTTGTGTATCACGTTTGACCGAATCCATCGCCATCTTCCATTGCTTCGAGGATTCCGATCTTTGGTGTCGGCTGGACAACGCTAGCTGAGGGAAGTCCAATGTGTTGACCATGTTCGTCGGTCCTATTTTCAACTGATGTGATGTATATCTGTCTGTTTCCTTGTACCATTTCTGGCTGATGTGATTGCCATAATTATAACGTTTGTCTGCGTTTTCTCGCCACCACTGCGATGACCGGACCATTTTTCTCCGCGGCCGAGTTCGACATATGCCGCACTCAGTTGTGGTAACGGATATAATGTATGACATTTGATGTTGGTCTCCCATTTGTTCTCATGAGAGCGGAAGCTTTATGACTGCATGCGACACCCTGTCAAGTATTTCTCGCGTCGACTCTATACGCGTTGTAAGATTCTGCATGCCAAAAATTGTTATCTTATTCGTGTTAATGTTAATATGTATCTAAACTGTGAGGGAACAATACACGCATTGATTGAAAGCGCATTTACCTACATTTGCATTGGTAGCGACCTCCATAATTTCATATTTTCAAAAGTAAGGCGTCTGTTATGCCCTTCAAAAGAATCCATAGATATTCAGGACCTTATGAACAAGCGTTTTGGAAACAGCAGCGCCTAGACGTTCAACATATCTGCGAACTTTATGAGACGACCGCCATCTCATACGCCTCCTAAGAGCACCATGGCAGCAGTCGCATTTAATCACGTAATTTACCGACAATGAAGAGGGCTAGAATTTGAATAATGCCACTTCGATATCTCTCCGAGCTGCCGTTGTGTTTCGTGAGCCGAATACCGCGAAGTACCTATAGCGAATTTCTATTCACGTTCATCTCTCGTCTCAACCTCAAAATGAATTCCATTGAGTGCGTCACCGGCAGTTATTGCACCAGTTGAAGATACCCACGTCATCCCACAGAGCCCAGTGCAGGATGTCTCGACTGAGTCAGGTGTACCGAAATAGTTCACCTGTGGCGATGCAATGACACGGTTTCTATATTGACGGCAGAGGGGAGCCGAACAACTCCGGATGAAACGGGGGCGGAGCAGGGGGGAGCAGGACGGAACGAGCGGAGCGGAGTGAAGCGGGGACATAGCGGGGCAGAGCAGGGGAGCAGGGGGAGGTTCGGGCGGAACGGGGGAGGAGCGGGGCGGAGCGGGGAGGTTCGGGCGGAGCGGGAGAGGTTCGGGCGAAGCATGCGTAAGGAGCCGGCCAGCTTCGGACGGAGCGAGCGGAGCGAAAACGGAACGGGGGGGGGGGGGGAGTGGGGATGGAGCGGGATAAAGTAGGGCGGAGCGGGAAGGAGCGGAGTTAGTCTCACAGCTGTCCAGCTCCCACGACAGACGCCTCCGATGACCCGCTCCAGGCCGATCCACCGGATCACCGCCTGAGCTCCGGCTGATAACGGCTCAGCAACACGCAATCCGACGGCTTCAGCGACGACCCCTGCAGCACATCGACGTCCTCCTCTATCCCCAGATCAATCCACTCTCTAGGCACTGACCAATCCCTTCCCCACATATCAGATTATTCACTTGACAACTTGCTTTCATTCACAACCGTCATTCACATTCTTGGCTCCTTTCCAATCAACTACATAACCTCTTCAAAAAAAAAAAAAAAAATCCTCAGAGTAGGTACCAAGTACCAACAGTCCTCAGATACCAACCAAAGTCCTCAATGCCCCCAAGTCCGTCCCGAGATTCCCCAGCAGCCCGTCAGTCCGGGGCTGAACCGTCCATCAGGCCACCGTCCGTGATGAAATCCGATATAGGACGCGGCCTCGGCCCGAGCCGCATCAAATTGCCGCAGCTCTTTATTGGCTTATGTGGAGTCGGCAAGTGCCGAATCGATGGCCGTTGGCCGGCATCTCAGGAGGATCCCCCCCCCAGCTCCCCCCCCCCCCCCCCCACCGACCGGCGAAGGCAGATCAAAGGTGCAGGCGTGGGTTTGAACTTGGAGCGCTGCCGACATTGATCGGTGCTGCCCATGCTGCAGCGCATCCGGATTCGATTTACTGGGGTTCGAACGCCATTGGGAAATCTAACGCATTCTTCTCATTGCAATAGCTTTCTGATGTAAATTTATGAGCATTAGCACTCTCTAGAGAGGAGACTGAGTGCCTAACTTGCAAACTAAATAAATGTTTTTGAAAATAAGTGTTGGCCTGCAAATGTTCCAACACAAGTAATTCAACCCCTTTGACAAAAGTGTGGAAGGGGCCAAAGGGGGCATGTTTGAACATTCCCCTCCCCCGGCCCGGCGGCGGTCTCGCGCCGGCTGACCTTTCAACCTCTTCGTCTGGTCAGAGCCAGCGGCCATCCATCTCCCTGGCTATTGAGGTACCAATAATGGCCGCAAGGTTTGTTTGCGTCTTCAATCTGGCAACATGAACTGTAGGATAAAATTAAACTTCAGAGGCTTGTGCTCCCTCGAGTGAACGGGAAAAATACTTCGTTGACTACGTTTTAAACTTTTTCCTGCGACTCACTATATTCGCCCTTATTCTATTCGTCCATGCGCCATGATGCAGTGCCGGCCTCTAGCGGGGAGTTGACAAATTCGAGCACGGGGGCCTCTGGGCGGGAAAACTGACCCAGACGTCCCCGAAGGAGGTTGCGCGCGGCGCAGGTGCGTGCTGTTTCGTGATAGGTGGGCAGGCTGCACAGCCAAGGTGAGACTTTTTGGTTTGAGGAGACGTGTGAAGCGTGCTTTTGTGAGTGAAAGAGGTGCTGAGTACGACGGTAGACGGTAGTGTCTCGCAGACTGACACTTGACAGCGCGGGCGTCGTGATGACACTTTCTGCGTGCGAGCTTTGCGATCGAGTGATTGTGGGTTCCCGTGAGTTATCGAGCTGTCAGTGAGTGAGTGAGTGAGTTCGGTGAGTGGTTGAGTGGAGTTAGCGTTTGGTGCGAGTGTGGTGGATACCGATCGTCGGTGAGAAGAATCTCGACTGACATTATGGATCATCTTGGAATCTGCACTCGAGGAGCTTCGGATCGCGAATGGTCAGTCCGCTCCCGAATGGTTGAGCGGTAATTCAGTTTCTTTTGTGTGCTTCAAGGTGTATCTAATGGCGGACCCAGATGAAATGCGCGTCATTTCTCTAAATTCACATGCTTGCCGTTTAATTATTTCTGTTTAGGTTCATTATGATCTATTTTGAGCTGAGATGCCAACGTAACTACATGATGAAAATCTTTGCGGAAGCTGAAATATGTGTTTGAAATAGTGTGATTTTCTTTTTTATCTTGGCTAGAAAAAGTGAATGATTCTCTTGAGCATGAAACTTTACATAAAACTTACATGAAACTTTCAACTGATGCTACCGTCTTTATCTTTACTCAAAACCATCTGGATCCGCCTGTGATATACCTACTGTCGCTTGTGTTTGTCATGTTGAACCGCCTTGCTCTCGGCCCGGCTCGCGGCCCGGACCGGACCGCCGCGGGCACCGCTCGCCGGTCACGGGGCAGCCAGCTGACCGCCGCGCTGTCTCGGCCGGCAGAGGTCACTAAAGGTCAACAGCCACGGGTGGAGAACTAGGGGTTTCAGGGGCGGCATTGTCGATCACCACCTTACATCCTAGCCCGTTTTAATGGAAAATGGTCCTTACTCTGAGTACATTGAAAAAATTATAGATAAGCTGCTGAAAATCGCTTGGGAACCAGTTATTGGGCTGGGAAGCACACATGCTGAGGATTTTCACGAATTTTCACGAATAATTTCACGGCGTAGTTAATTGGATAGATCCTGGGAAAGCACCGCTAGGTTTTGAACACTATCGCATTACGTCTACCTTCTATACGCATGATATTGTGTTTCATCGGTTGTGTTTGGTTTGTTAATGAATTCGTATCTATCAATAGCGCTTATTATGTCGATGCTGATTCTTTGTTACGTCCGCAGATAGGAGCGGTGCGATTTAGCGAACTCCTAGGAGTTTATTGACATTATTGTGTTTTGTGATTGTTGAGGAGTCGTTAGTGTTTAGTTATCGTTAAGGTACTTACTTACGTACCTAGCTGCCGTTATTGTAGCAACTGGCCTCACCAACTGAATTTACTAGAGCTATGTGACTGTCTTAGAGGCAAAACAGCGCCTTTGATCCTAAATCTCTCAAACGTGAAACGTACGGGTTGCGAGTGCTGAATAATCATAAATCATTGACCGCCCAGCTTTCCGACTGCCTAGTCGCCATAAAAAACTGTTCAATTAATTAACAACAGCTGCTCAATTAGTTAACAATCTGACTAACCAGCCACCAGCCAGTTACCACTGTTTGATAAACCATTGAGCTATCAAAGATGAATATCTGCTGAACTATCCGAATAATCACGGTCACTGTCCCCTAAACTATCCATATCAGTCGGGGGAGGTTTGGTCAATCGTTGTCATTTTTAGCACGTGCTATTTTTGTCACACGTGCTAAAAATGACAACGATTCTGCTATTTTTGACAACGATGAGGCCGATTTCACTCCTCAGCGAGGAAATGAAGATTTTGGAAAGATAAACACTGATTT